ACAGATATTGCTAGATTTGATGTGTATGTTGCACACTACCAGTAGCAATACGACCAAGATATGACCTAGTTTAAGGAGCATTTTGCTTCCATCTCCAATCTCTTTCAGCCACCATCACCACCTCCTTCATCTAATCAAGGCCTTCCGTACTTGTAGACTATTTTTTTCTTGTGATGCTTTTATGTGATATTTTTGTATTATTATTAGTTTCAATTTTATATTTTCTGATTTATAATTCCTTTATGTTTTCTCCTCCTTTTTGTGATTTCAAAAGTGGGAGTAGTGATAGTGTTAGTGTATTAGTATTATTTTGTTGTAATATTTTTTGTTATATTGTTGTTTAGTATATATACCACCTATTTGTTTTTAGTAAAATTTGCATTTTTGTGTTCATACTATTCTTCATTAGTTTATATTTCATTAATCTGCTTGAGTTAAATTTTCTAACAAATATTTGCCATCATCAAAAAGGGGGAGATTTTTGTAAATCTAGATTTAAAGATTATAATTTTGATGATAGAAAGCATTTTTAGTTTTCTGTTTCTCTACTATTGCCATGCCTACTAACATTTTAGGTCCACAAGATCAATTATAAATCAAGCCAGCTCAAAATAGGGTAGATTAGGACTGAGTCAGTTTATAAGTATATTTTAAGTGCTTTTATCTTTTCTTGAGTTAAATATAATAAAGTGGATCTTGATACTAAATAACCTTACACACACAAACACAAAAACTCAGGTGATGAAATTTTGTATGTTTTAGAGTTTTTTATTTTTGATTATATCATCCAAGACGATTCAAAATTGTCATGAATGATCAATTAAAAATAGAAACTCAAATTAGGGTATCCTTGTTAAAATAGATTAATTAAGCAAATCATCCTAAATGATATTAATATTATCTTGGACGATAGGCTAAAATCAGAAAGAATCACCAACTTTTTTAGGTATGTTATTATTTTTAAAAATCATACAGGATGATATATTCATTATAATCATGCATAAATTATTTAGGTGATTAAAGAAAGTAATTAAGGTTTGATTGATCGATCATATCATCCAAGATGATTGATGGATCGTCCGGGATGATAAGTTAAAAAAACCTTAGTTTTCTCCTAAGTCACTTGGACGACCAAAATGATTTGCTTGAGGATCAGCTGAATTTCTTCATCTTCCATAAGTTTCTCTTGGAAGACCAGAATGATGTGCTGGATGATAATCCTTGATTTCAAACTAATCGTACTGGACATTACAAGTATCGTCTAGGACGATATGTTATATTTCTTCATCATCTAATATGTATGTTCTGGACGATTAGAATGATGTGCTGGATGATCTGTATGATTTTAATTTAATCATACAGGATAATGTCCACATCATCCTGGACTATTAGAATAAATAAGGCTTCTAATCATCCACCCTTCCTAGATTGTTTAGGATAAAAGGGCTAAAAATATAATGATCGTACAAGACTATATGTCGATCGTCCTGGACAATCTTTGACAACAATTTGTAAAATAGGGCAAATTTTAAGACCATCTTTATAATATCTCTTATTTATTCAATTGGATATCTTTTATTATTGTCCTGATCCAAGAGAGCTAAGAAAAGGAGAGGGAGAGCTTGGGAGAGAGAGAGGATCTTCTGAGGGGGAGTTTGTGAGAGATTCACAAAGGTTGCTCGAAACAAGGATCCGAGTCATCTTCTCTAGTCATCATCCCTGGTTCCTTAGTGGCTCTGCGAAGGTCATCTTCAGCAATCGATTAAAGTTCTCTGCCTGCTTCAGGAGGAAGCAAAAGGAGGTTGGGTTCTCTACCTCACCGGGGTCGGTGGAATGCAGTTTGTAAAGGCTCAGGCTAGTTCATAAGGGATTAACAATCCTAACGAACTTTTAATATAATGTATATTATCTATATCAACCCAAGGCCTTCCCCCAAGGAAAGGCCTCATTTGTAGTAGACTGCAAATAATAGTTGATTCATTCAAACTGGGCCATGCCCCATAGTTTTTTCCCTTTACAGGGGTTTCCACGTAAAAGCTCTGATGTCTCTTGAGAACACTACACCCTCTCTTTTATTTTCTTGTGTGTTTGATCTTCATACAAAGCTAAGACATTAAATTTTATATTTCTCTACAGCCACGAATAGTCCAATATGCAACAAGTACCACTAGCTGAAACATGAAGAAAAGGCAAAGTAAACACATCATAACCATGAATGGAGCGAACACAACAACCGAAGATAACACAAATGATTCACAAAGAAAGAAAACAATGCTAGCAAGGCCTGTAAAGAACATACCAAGCAGCACAAGGCAAGAACAAAAAAAGAAAGTCAAAAGTGGCAGACCCTAAGATAAAAAACAACCGTCAAGAAAGAAACCGAATATTAAATTTTGTGAATATAAGGTAAACCCAATTTGTACAATCTTAGAAGGCATTTGAAGTTATGAAATTCATTGCCATTATAAATAATTTCAATAACTGGATAACCAGTACCTTTTTTGGCTAACCAGTCAGCACATATGTTTCCATCATAACAAATATGATAATAAGATCATCAAAGTGGGTAAAACGTTTTTTGATTTTCATGACTAAGTAAAACAGAGAAGCATTATGACAATTGTATGCAAAAATTAAATTAACAAATATTAGAGAATCTGACTCAATCAAAATATTATGAATATTATGATATTTGTGTAACTGTAACCCTAATAGAGCCATGGCCTCTGCAATCATAGCCTTACCAGCATAAATGCAATAAGCTAAGGCAAACATCAGAACCCCAAGGTAGTCTCTCACTAAACCCCCACAACCGGCCTCACTGTTATTAATAGCACTATCAATATTAAGTTTGATTTGACCCTCAGATGGTTTGCGCAAGTAAACCACCTTAGAACAGCCATAAATTTTAAGGGTAGAAAAAGAGGTGTGAAAGAATTTAGAGAAATTTTTACTACCTCTAAAATGCTTTGGAAGAATCCACTTGGGGCAGCTTTCTTCCTGCTTCATAAGTAGTTTTTTAGTATAAAAATTTCTCGAATAAGAAATTTTTGTACTACAAAGCTACTTTAAAATTAGTAAGAAAGCTATCTCAAATGAATCCTTAAATACAACTATCCTCTTTTCATTTCAAACATTTTCGCTTAATTTATTTCAATATAATTTAATTTACTAAAACTATTTAAAAATATCTTTTTTATGTATGCAACTTCTCAATACTTATCTGAGGTTATAAATTGACCTATGGAAAAGCATCTAAATAAAATAAAAATATTATTCTGATTATAGTCCTTGTCATTGTGTTTTGGCAAAACTAATAAGTTATTAGCTATTCATTAAATAATGTTAATAGGGTTAGCTGTACGTATCAACATTCAGATATTAATTATAATTAAAAATTAACATGCATGCTTGACTTATTATCACATCACGATGTACTAACTACATGAAAAAAATAAGAAATGTGTAGCAATTAATTCATACATTTGGGATAGCTTTCTTACTATTTTCTAAAACAGTTTTTAAATGCACAGACTTTTTGAAATAATTTTTTTTGTACCAAACACAGAAAAAAAAAAAACTGTAGAATATTGTTTCTTTGCTCCCATTTCTAAACGGGAAAGGCTGTAATTTCTTTTTTTCTATTTTTAAGCTTAATAAAATGGATGTTGAGTGCAACAAATAGAAAGAGATTTTTCATTTTATAGAAAAATTCTACTAAAACTTTTAATTTATGTTAACGCAAAGATAATGCAATAGATATAATACTAAGACATTTAGAGAAGAGATAAATAGGAGAGAAATAAGAATGCATGAGTACATAAAATTGTGTCTTATGGAGAAACTGAGTGATAATGCCTAAACAGAAAATAAGAGAAAATATAATAACTGTGTAACCTATCTGAAGATCCGACCTGGTTTAAGAAGCCATTGGCCTGCCTTGTAAAATCTTTCTTCTTTTAGGGCTCTATAAAATGAAGGTTTTCATAAGTTCTCTTTTTTTATTTTTTTCTTGCTTCCAGCTTACAAATAATCTAGGGCTTCATGCCTAGATAGCTTTTATTATTTGGAGAGGATATTCTAATTAACTTAATTTCAATAGATATTTTTTATTTTGCTTCCATAGTTGTTGTATGTTGCTTCTTCATTTTAATTCTTCTATGTTTTTATTTATTTATTTCATTAAAGTAATATTTTTCAATGCCCTGTCAAATATTTCTAACTTTGTTGAAGAGTGGTAAATTGATGAACAAAAAAATTGATTCTTTTATGCAATTGCTGCAGCAACTTGTTCATTTAAATAAATTTTGCTATTTTGGACTAATGCTACATGTCATCATCACTATCATCATTATTAATTATCATCATAATCATCAAAATAAAGATGTGGAAGAAATTTATTCATCACTATGATATTCCATTTATAAAATAATATCATCATTAATTTAAAAAAAAAATTGTGTTATTTTTATTTAATTGAAGATCGCATAATTTTATGCACCATAAAGGCAACTACATGCCTTTACATAGTTTAGGGATCTAAAGAAAAAAGTTTTTCCCAACCATCAATTGTCAAGCAATGGAGATAAGTTGCAACCCAAGACGATGTATTAAACTCACCACAAACATATAGTCAACATTATATTCCATCACATGTGGATCTGTATATTACTTACTATTAAACTAGTAAACCTTCCTTTTATAAATTTTTTTTTTCATTAAAAAATTTTTATTTATTGTGTTTAGTTGTTTTTATAATTTTGTATATGTCTGTGCTACCTTCTAATAATTAAGATTTTATGATCTGGTGATAATATTATTTTGAGATTTCATTATAAGTATCATAATAATATTACAAAGTATATATATATATTTTTTTTTAGCTGAAACCTGCCAGAGGGGCCTACGCGTTAATAGAGGTAAAAATTACAAGGTCCTTAAAAGGGTTCTCAAACTCACGACCGCTCAAAGAGCTACAAAAATCAGAAGAAAAGAAAAACCTACGAGCTCGAGAACCCTGCTATAAAACAATACAAAGCAACATAAGAACATGCTATGGTGCTTAAGCGAAAGCACCCAAAAAAAGGGAGTTAACAACAAAAAATAACCAAAATGCTCCCCAAAGCAGTCATCCGCAAAGATCTGACAATCCCACGCCCAAACAGGATCCTGCACACCCAAAAAATAAACCAAAGACTGCAAAAGTAAAGTAAAAGAAATGACAAACCTAAATAAAGTAATAAAAATCCTCCAAAAAGGATACAGGCAAAAATGAAGTAACCAGTCCTGAAACAAGAGAAACACAACAGTTAGTAAATTATATAAGCAAGCAATAGACCACATAAACTCAAGCCAAATGCTCCAGCCAACGGTCAGAGAAAAATAACGAGGAGAGCTGAAGGATATAGACCCGAAACACCAACCCATACAGATACAACCAAAAGGCGCCACACCCAGAATAGGGAAGAGAAGACTGTAAACGACATCCAAGCACCACCCAGCAACAGAAAAAGGAAGATAAAACCAAAACCCAAACGACCAATTAATCATTGACATAAGGCAACCCCAGACAGTCCAGAATATGCATACCCTTAACATTAGACGGAAGCAGGTGAAAATCCAAATCCATAACATAGTTCAAAACACAACCAATGCTAGCCAAACCAGCAGCTGACGCATTGGCCATAGCAGGAATAATGGAAAAGATATAATTAAGCAAGTTAAGGTACACTCTAATCTCCATAGAAGAAAAATTATAAACATCTAAGTTCCTGATCATCCTGAAATCAAAATCATATTCCAAAATAACATCAGTAAGGTTCAAATTGATGAACAATTGTAAACTGTGAAGCACCCCAGCCAAGACAGCCCTGGAGAAAAACCCCCAACCAACAGGCCCAGCAAAAGCACAAATGAAAGAACCATTATGATCCCTAAGAACACCCCCAAAACCAAAATAATTACCCAACTTAGTACCCGAAACATTCAGCTTAACAGAAGAAGAAGAGGTCTTCTCCCAGGTAATGCATCTAGAATTACGAATGGAAAAATCAACCATTAAATTAATGCCCAACTTGAGGGCAACAAAATTAACAGTAAAAAAACTTTTAACCGAAATAAGATGGACAGAATACAAGGCAACCACTTTATCCTTTATGTTATGAATAATCCTCATAAAATTCATCTGCACCCCGTTAAAACGGGACTCATTCCGGGCTAACCAGATAAACCAAAGAATCAAACAGGGAATGACATTATGAATATGCCCTTTAGTATTAACCAACCAGCAATCCAAAATAGAATATAAAGAAGCATTAGAAGAGAAAAAATTGAACTAAAACAAATCCTCAAAATATAACCAAACCTTAACAGCAACCGGACCTGAAATAAAGACATGGTGTATATTGTCAATATGGTAGCAGCATTGACATTTAGAAGGTAAGAAAAACCCTTTTTTCCTCAAGTTATCATCAGTAGAAACCAGCTTATGAAGAAATCTCCAGATAAAAACCGAAACACTAGAGGGAATAGACTTATGCCATATTAAGTTAAAAAATTTAGTCGGAGCCTTATTGATTCTGAAGCAATGCCAAGCTTCCTTAACCGAAAATTTACCATCCTTAGAAAGAGAAAAAAGCAACACATCTTTAGAGTAAATGTTTAAAGGAATTTTTAAAATAAGCTGAATTATACTATCAGGGAGAATGTCAGAAAGTTTCTCAACATCCCAACCATGCCCAGCAAAAAAATGGTTAACTTTAACATTTGAAGTAGAAACATAATTTAATAAGGAGTCAATGGGCTGACCATTAATCCAGCAGTCTTGCCAAAAGAAAATGATGCCATAACCAAGCCCCCAAGCCAAAAGGGCTCAACCTTCCACTTAACCGAGCAAAAACATTTCCAAACTTTAGAATTACCAACAGTGTAGCCACAAAGAGAATGATGCCTCCTCCCATAATACTTAATAGTCATGGAATTAGCCCAAAGGCAGTCATTGTTCCTGAGCTTAAACCAAAACTTATAAGAGAAGGAGACAGCCAAATCCATCATCGTTTTATAGCCCAAAGCCCCCTCATCCACAGACGCACAACACTTATTATAAGAAGACCAATGGATCTTGGAAATGTTAGAACAGCCTTTCCAAAAAAAATTATTGATAATTCTTTCAATCCTCTAACAAACAGTATTTATAGGAAAAAGTTTGAAAATAGTATACAGGAATAAAACAAAGAACACTTTTTATAAGAGTTAAACGCCCACCAAAACTTAAGAAGTTAGAATCCCAAGAAAATAATTTGTTATGAACAACAGAAATTAAATCATCAAATAAAAAAGACCTCTTCTTGCCCTTAAATAAAGGAATACCCAATTACTTCAGAGGTAAAGAACCCTGAGAAAAACCAGTAATGTTCTGAATCTCCACGGCCCGAGCCGCAGAAACATTCTTACCAATAATAAAGCAGCTCTTAGATTTGTTAAAGGATAAACCACTGACAGACTCAAAATGCTCGAACAAACTCATAATTTTACCAACCATATTACTGCTAGCATTAGAAAATACAATAAAATCATCCGCAAAGCAAAGATGGGAAATATTAATATCACCTAAAGGATGAAAATAAAGGTTAGAACAATTTTTAAAGGTGTCCTCCAAAGCCCTGGAAAGGTAATCCACGACAAGGATAAAGAGGGCAGGGGAGAGAGGATCCCCCTGACGCAACCCATGAGACGACATAAAAAAATCATGACTCTTACCATTAACAAGAATAGAAAAGTAAGTAGATTCAATGCAAGCTTTAATGAGACTGATGAAAGCAACATCAAAACCAAAAAGACTCAAAATCTTATAAATAAAATTCCAATTAATATTGTCATAAGCCTTCGAAATATCAAGTTTCATGATCATGTTGCCACCACGACACTTAACATCAAGATCATTACAAAATTCTTGCGCCAACAGGATATTATCAGAGATAGATCTACCTTTAACAAAACCCATCTGGTACGGAGAAATGAGCTTAGGCTAAAGAACAGTTAAACGATTCATAAGAATTTTATAAAGCACTTTATAAAAGACAGTACACAAGCTAATGGGTCTAAAATCATTCCAAGTATTAACAGAATTATTCTTAGGAAGAAGCACAACAGAAGTGGAAGAAAAGAATTTAGGAATAATAGAACCCTTAAAGAAGTCATTAACAGCATTAAGCAAATCCATGGAAATAATATGCCAAGTTTTTTGAAAAAACTTAGTAGTGTAACCATCAGGACCCGCCACAGAAATAGAATCCATACCAAATAAGACAACTTTAAGCTCCTCCAAGGAAGGAGGAATAGATAGCAAAGCATTATCCTAACTTGAAACCAAATGAGGAATAAAGGCCGGGTTAGGAGCACTAATGGGAATAAAGGTTTTGATAAGATGAGTTTGAAAAAAAATTAACAGCAAGGGAAGAAATCTCCCCATAATCCTCAGACATAGTCCCATCATCTTTAGCAATTTTATGAATGAAATTAGAAGACCGTCTCTTATTAACAAAGTATGAAAATAATTAGTGTTCTTATCACCATCAACCAAATGCTTAATAGCCGCTTTCTATTTCCAAAATTCCTCCTCTTGATCTTGAAGCTTACAAAGATCACCTTAGCCTCATTAAACAAAGCAAAATTAACCTCAGTAGGATCGGATTGACAGAAGCTATCAAGAGAATTAACTTTAGATTCACCCAAAGAAATATTGGCAAACAAATTTTTAAACACATTGTGATTCCACACTTCAACACAAGTTTAAACCTTTTGTGTTTAAGCCACAATCTATGCATACCCGAGATAGTGTCATCAGGGAAAAGAGGGGCCTCCCAATTAACCCTCACAACATCAAGGAAAGAGGGGTGCAGCAGCCACATGTTCTGAAACCTAAAGTGAGAAATAGGGGCAGTACAGTCATTCTTAATATTAATAAGAATAGGGGAATGGTCAGAAAGAGTATGACTAAGATGTTCAATTTTAGTCAAATGAGAAACATTAAACCAAGCATCATTGAATAGCACTCTATCCAATCTTTGCCACAAATGACCACGATGCCAAGTAAAATTGTTGCCAGTAAAACCAATATCAATAAGATTGAAATTCAAAATCATATCATTGAAATCTTCCATGGATTGATAAATGGTAAGAGAGCCCCCCAAGCGTTCAGAAGGACAAGAGATAGTATTGAAATCCCCGCTAACAATCCACGAAAGACTACAAACATTATGAAAATGACAAATTTGCTCCCAGAGGATTCTTCAAGTAAAGCGAGAAGAGGCGGCATAAACAAAAGACGAGCAACATTGAAAATTATAACTTTCAATATTACAATGAAGAACTTTGTGAAAGTTACCAATAATATCAAGTCTAACGAAATCCTTCCAAAAGACCCAAAATTTGTTGGAAATATTAGCAAAAGAAGACTTAAAACCCAAGAACTTAGCAGTACCACACAATTTGTCAACAGAAATAAGAGGTTCAAGTAAAACATATTACAAAGTATAATGTTATTGCTACAATTCATTAATTGGATGATTGTAGTCTTTTCTTTTTTGTTGAGTTTACAATAAATTAATGGTAAAATTTTCATCAATATAATAATCTTGTTAGTGTTTAGGGTTCTTCGATCGATTGATGGATTCATCAAATCAAATGATATTGAAGTTAAAATCAAGGAAACTAAACTAATAAATCAAAATATAATGTGTTAGTTCACCAATAGAAATTCCATTATTAGAACTCTTACAAATGGGATTTATGTTAATAATTGTGAAGAAAATCTTATTAAAATATTAAAAAGTTTAAAAAACATTTCATGGATCCCTATAAATGAAATAATTCTACTAAAAATTGTTCTTTTGCATGGATTAACAAAATTTTAATCAGTATCATTTGAATTAATGACATACATAATTATTGTTAAAGCCTTCATCAATCTCAACCTCCTACAAGCCTCCCACCCACAAGGTCAAAACGTTCTAATAACAAGTAAATTTGTAAAAATAAGATAAGGGAATTACAAAATTACCATATATTAATAATTAAGTAAGTAATTAATTAATTATTATTAAATTTTAGCTAAATAAGTTATGTTTAATCAAATTTTAATTAAATAATATAAGAGCTTTTATCAAACTTAATATCAGACATATAATAATTGTTTATTGAACAACAAACAAATTAATTTATGAATATAATTAAACAAGATGGCCTATAGTTAAGATTTGTTTGTTCAACCATCAAGTTTTTTAAATGATTTCAAGCTTATTTATCTATCATCTTCAATGAGAAATAATCAAGCCAAATTCAATTTACTTATAAAGTATATTAGTTCACTTAGAATCTGAACTTTAGGTAATGACTACAACAACAACAACATCAAGCCTTTATCCCACTACATGGGGTCAGCTACATGAATCTTTTTTCTCCTTTGTATCCTATTAAAATTCAAATTCTCATTTAAATCTAATAAAGAAAGATCATTTCTAATATTTTCTAACCAAGTCTTTTTAGGTCTGCCTCAACCTTTCTTAACATAAGTCAAATATAATACCTCTACTTTCCTAACCGGGTCATCGGAAGGTCACCTTTTTATATGACCAAACCATCTAAGGTGACTCTCTCTAATCTTATCTTCTATTGGAGCTACTCAAACCCTTTTACGTATATGCTCATTTCGTGTCTTATCTCTAAGGGTAAAGCCACTCATCCACCTTAGCATCCTCATCTCTACCACAGTTAACTTAGTATTTTGCTTCTCTTTTAATGGCCAACATTCAGCACCATAAAGCATTGCAGGACTCACCACCATCTTATAGAATTTTTTCTTAATTTTGAGGGGTACTTTTTAATCACACAACAAGCCCGATGCATTCCTCCACTTCAACCATCCAACTTGAATTTTGCTACTAATATCCCCATCTATTTCACCATCACTCTAAACAATAGATCCAAGATATCAAAAATGTGTACTCTTATTAATGACTTGATTGACCAAAGTCATAATTCCCTCACTAGGTCTATTACTACTAAAATTACACTCCATATATTCCATTTTAGATCTACTCAAGTGAAAACCTTTAGACTCTAAGGATGGCCTCCAAAATTCAAGTTTACCTTCAACTCCCTCTCTAGTCTTATCAACAAGAAGAATATCATCAGCAAAAAGCATACACCAAGGTACATCCTCTAGTAAATGTCTAGTGAAACTTTAGGTAATAAATCTAAGGAATAATTATATGAGAATAAGAATTAGCATTGCAGCTGATAATAAGTTAATGTCTATGTTAGATGATTAGATTTCTTTTCCCTTTTTAGATGGTACGAGGAGTTGTACAGATGTTGGAATAATATTGATTCTTAGGCATAGATTAGTATTATAGGTTAAGTAACGAAAGGTTGTGTTTTTTAATTTGCACTAGCCTTTTTTTACTTTTAAATACTTGCAGTTTCTATGAATAATAAAGTTTACTCTTGTGTAGCTTAGCCTATAGATTGCTGTGCTACCTTCTCTTTCTTTCTTGTTTTGTTTTCTCCTTATAAGCAAGTGCAATCGAAGGTATGCAAGTAAGAAGAAGTCGAACATGTGTGCAAAAAGAAAAGGAGTGGCTAGGAGATCAAGTAGGGTTAAGCGTGAGGGCTTCTTGTTCTATGAGGTTTTTTTTTGTGAAATTGGGAGGAGGATCAAGTATTCAAGCTTGAAAGTGAGAGGCAAACCAATTTAATATCTTTTTTTTTTCAAAGTTCTTTGTGGTTGAGTATTAACAACTTAGAAATAACATATTATTTTACTCAACTTGAACCCTTTTTGAAAGTATTACTTGCAGTCATTTGGAAATATCACCAGTTAGTTGCTTTAATCAGTCATAACAAATTGGTATCAGAGACATTGGTTACAGTTTAGCAAAGTAGGTGTTTCAAAAGTCAATATTGAGAGGTTTGATGGGAAAATTGATTTCTCAATTTGGTGAAAATGAAGAAAGTTGTTCCAGTCCAAATGAAGGTACGTTGCTAAGGTG